TTTTTCAATAGACCATTTTTTTTTTTAAATGAAAGATGTTTAGTTTGTGCGATGTTACTGGCTGTCTTGATTTGTCTTGATATGTCTTGATATGTTTTGATATGTCTTGATATGTCTATTTCATTGGTTTTCGCTGAGTTGCTATGTTGTGGTACCGGACTACCAAGAGCGTTACGAAGAGAAGCCCAACCTCTAAGATAAGAAGAAAACCTTTTCTTGCCACTTAGTCTCAAACTGTCGCTACCCAAATTAAATAAACTATTTAAGCAAATGGCTTTGTCTCAAACTGTCGCTACCTAATTTAAGCAAACCCATTTAAACAAAGTTGGCAGATGCCATGGGGAAAGATGATATGCGTGGCACAGGGATGAGTGTACTAGAAGCTATCGATAATTGCGAAAGGCGTTCAACAGAACTGACTATTTGCGAAGCATCAACAACTAATTATCAAATATTTACGCATAGAACTGAGTCGGGTTTTGATTTTTTGTATCCTCAACAACAAACAATTTTTTTAAAGCCACATTTCCAAGCCCTGTAAATATATAGGTTTGTTTAGGAAACAGTTAATCAGAATTATTAATTTTTTTTTAAAGATGTATCTATGTATTGTGGTTCTATTTCTAGGATTATTTAATGTTGACAAATATTTATCTGATATATATTATACGCCCTCTGGGCTACAAAAAAAAAATTCGTAAAAAATGCTATAAAAAATTGAAATTTAATTTGAAATAGCTTTAATATTAACGGATTTTGATATATTTTAAAAATATAACTATTTAATTTAACAATTGTTATAATATTTTTTGTTATATTCTAATTTTTACTTAAAACTTGAAAAATCAATCAATTATATGTATTACATTTATTTTTAAAAAGAAGAGCAGCATTATCAGTTTTGCAGCATGCGATTATTATCTCAAGCAAATTTACAGCCCCAGGGTGTCTGAGCTCCAGGGTGTCTGAGCTCCAGGGTGTCTGTGGCAAAAAGACCGAGCACTTATTACGAGCTCGGCACTCGCATTGCAAAACAATTTACTTTAAAAAAACTATTTACATTACATATATAAAACTATATACATTCTTATAGGAAATTAAATGAACTAATACAATCTTTCTGAATCCAACTGATATCTCAACATTAATGCAAATGAGCTATGAAGATTTACATAATTTATGCATATATTTTTTTATAACTTAGAATAAACTTGACTTACTTGTCATCATCTGTGTTAAATTTTTGATGGATGAAGCCTGAATAAGTTCTTAAACTTGTGTTTTGGGAAAGTAGGCCCATGGAGGCCCTTCAGACCTCTGACACATTGTTCTGCTCCTCTTCTTGACCCCAGCTAATTTTCAGTTGCTACATACACTCATTGTAACAGCCTCCATTTATGACCGAGGGACCTTCTCTTAAGCTGGGTTTTACTGAGAAAGATGTATACATACCTATTGGTCTCTCTCATAAACATTTGAATGATATTTGTTTGTAGGACCAATATTGTCTAAAAATTTAGAGGGGTCATCTCTATGCAGTTGAGGACCCCTAAACTATACGAAGGGATCACAACATTATGGTGAATATCATAGTTTGTCGCGTCTTCATTACTTTCCTGGTAGTTTTCACCAGTGTCATTATTATATTTACAGCTAGAACATCAAAATCACTAAGGATATTAGGTTCAGTGTCACTGTCAGACATTTTGGATTTTTACATTGCTTGCAACACACACAAACGTGCCGAACACAATAAAAGCGACCAAACAATAAACGTTGGCCGCCATTAAAATGCCAGGATGTGAAGGAATATGTAATAAGCAATGTGATTAGCTGGTACGAAGTCTAACCAGCCAGTCTCGTAGCTTGAATCATTGGGCCGATGGATAGACAATCCGTCTTTTTCGCTACTCCACCATGAGCCGATAGATCGGCCCAGTCGTGTCAAGAGTGTGTAAATAGTTTTTTTAACTGTTATTTTCAATGCATTTCTAATTTATAATAAAAATAGTTCTTAAACACATACTGGAATATAAGAAGATCTTTTTTTTTTCATTTTTAAATTAATTCGATTTCTGTAAAATAACAGAAAATATACATTATTCATTTGAAGAATCCGAATCAATTTAAAATTATTGTCTTAGCGTTATGATGATACCTTATCTCATATACATAAACATTATATATATATATATATATATATATATAAGAAGTGTCTGTATACATTTTTAAAGTCACTGATTTTTATATATGTTAATATTTACAATATCTATTGCTTTCGATTGTCACTTTTTAGATAGACGATCTAATTATTTTTTGTTAATTATTTTATATCTAAAACTTTTTTTGTTTTTTCTATATTACGAAGTAGTTGTAGTTGTAGTTGTAGTTATAGTTGTAGTTATAGTTGTAGTTGTTTCTATGTCATATAAAGTTATAATTCATAATTGCTTTTGTTTTATTCTTTAAATGAAAAGTTCACTTAGATTGATAGACTTGTGTTGGACTGATGAATGTGTACTGGACCGATGGATGCGTGAAGAAATGATGGAAATGTGTTACACTGATGTATGTATGCTGGAATGACGGATGCGTGATGGAATGATGGATGTGTGTTAAACTGATGGATGTGTTGAAATGATGGATGTGTGTTGGAATGATGATTGTGTGTTGGAATGATGAGTGTGTGTTGGAATGATGAGTGTGTATTTGACAAACAGACTAACAAGTAAATGAATGGTACAACAGGACACTTTCAAAACCCTTCTTTCTTAAATCTCCCTCAATATTTAGAGGAAAGAGAACTGAGATGACAGGCCATGATATTTTGTGTGATAGGCCATGATATTTAAGTTGACAGGCCATGATATTTTAGGTGACAGGCCATGATATTTTAGGTGACAGGCCATGATATTTTAGGTGACAGGCCATGCTATTTTGGGTGACAGGCCATGCTATTTTGGGTGACAGGCCATGATATTTAAGTTGACAGGGCATGATATTTTAGGTGACAGGCCATGATATTTTAGGTGACAGGCCATGATATTTTAGGTGACAGGCCATGATATTTTAGGAGACAGGCCATGATATTTTAGGTGACTTTATATCGATATATAGTTCGTCCGTCGAAATGGACCAAGACCAACTTAATCACAGTACATATGCTTATTGTGAACTTGCCTGCGGGCGTGCAGACGGGTCATGAGACCGACTCCGGCACGAGATGTTCTTTTGCAGTAAGTGCAGGGGATGGATGGGACATCTCCAGGTTCTGAGTTAACCCTGACTTTCTGACATGTCTCTTGTTCTCTGCAGCAGTTGTTCTGTTGGCTTCATGATGCATGGAGCCTTTGTGTACAGAGGAACGCCACAATGCTGGATCTTTTGCCGATTCTTCTAAAGTTCTCGGGTCAATATTGAACGCTTTCAGTGAGGCTTTCATGGTTCGGTTAAAAATTTAAATAAATTTAAAACGTACTTTTTTCTTCCCAATTAATATTGAAATAGTGAGAGAAATGGTAGCAGCATAGGAAATACTCATCAAATTATACCGTCCAAAACCTAATTTGTAATTAAAGTTTCTAAACATATGAAAATGTTAAAGTTAAATCATACATACGACAATTTTTGATACCGGTAAGACAATTTTTGATAAGACAATATTTCATAAGACAATTGTTTGTTTAATGCAATTTTGCAAGATTCCATCGTTTAATTACCTTATATACAGTGTTTTTTAAGTTGCTGAGCAAATGTTAGATTACCATAAAAATGCTTACCGTTAATTGTTAGAGTTGCCATAACAATTTTACCCCAAATATTTTGTATTAATTTAAAAAGAGTCGCTGATCAAGGAATGTTACAAAGAGGAACAAAGAGGAACAAAGAGGAACAAAGAGGAACAAAGAGGAACAAAGAGGATGAAGTAAACGTGTTTGCTTGGTGGGGGGGAGTAGCTGGACTCAACCAGTTGAGGTTCCATAAGTCAGGGAGCAACCTGTGCACGAATTGGTCACTGAGGGCGAGGGGGTGGCAACATGAACAATAAAAGAATCCTTGCTTACCTGAAAGGTGTCTTTATATTAATTTGTAAAACAAATTTTGCTCCTGACAACGCCTTGTTTTTAAATTGGCAACACAAGTTAATCTTTAGATATGGGAATATAGAACTCCAAAAGAAATCAATGACATATACAGCAAGGGACTCTTTCAATTTTTTAAGCATGTTATTCTACATTACTGTGTCCAGCGTGTCACTCTACATTCATGTGTCCAGCGTGTCACACTACATTCATGTGTCCAGCGTGTCACACTACATTCATGTGTCCAGCGTGTCCCACTACATTCATGTGTCCAGCGTGTAACAATGCATTAGCGTGTAAAACATTTTCAATTTCCGTCAGGTTTATTCTAGATGTTTATAAATTTAAAATCTTACCCTCGACAACGGATCTTAACAAAGGTTTCATGACATTATACAGTGTTTATACAAATAGCTTCCAAGGATGTTTCAATAACAGTCTTTCAAGACAAAAAAATCTTACAAGACAAAATTATTTAGTAAACGGAAGACAAGGGAATTATTCCCCGTATAATGGTGCAGTTAGTGAAACATTAGGTAACAACTGTTTTAAAAAAAATTATAAGTGTTTGAAAATAAGACATGAAAGACTTGAAGAAAATAAGTTGAAGTGGCCTGTAGAAACATATCCTAGATATGAAGGATATACTAGAAGGTAACTGTATCAACATATCCTAGATATGAAGGACATACTAGAAGGTAACTGTATCAACGTATCCTAGGTAACAGTTTTTGTTTTTAAATAAAAGTGAAACATTAGGTAACAACAGTTTTAAAAAAAATTATAAGTGTTTGAAAATAAGACATGAAAGACTTGAAGAAAATAAGTTGAAGTGACCTGTATAAACATATCCTAGATATGTAGGACATAATAGAAGGGACCTGTATAAACATATCCTAGATATGAAGGACATAATAGAAGGGACCTGTATAAACATATCCTAGATATGAAGGACATAATAGAAGGGACCTGTATAAACATATCCTAGATATGAAGGACATAATAGAAGGGACCTGTATAAACATATCCTAGATATGAAGGACATAATAGAATGGGCCTGTATAAACATATCCTAGATATGAAGGACATAATAGAAGGGACCTGTATAAACATATCCTAGATATGAAGGACATAATAGAATGGGCCTGTATATATATATACCTAGATATATCTGGCATTTGCCTTGGCAATGCTGAAATAACGCTGCAGGAAGAGAAAGGTAGAAATCCATGTTGTTTAATGTTAGTTGATAGTTGACATAGAACTGTAACTTGGAAATCTTTGCTGACATCAATCAGATTCCAACGTATTCCAGTTTTTATTTTGAAAAATATCAATAAAGAATGAGCTGTCGAGTAACTTTTTTTTTTCTAAATCATTAATTATTGATTTCCTAACAATTTTCTGAAATTATGTATGCTTTTCAAAAATTATGTATGCTGAAATCATGTTCGAATAAAATCATGGTCTAACAAATCATGGTCTAATAAAATCATTTGTTGGCATTCATTACCCTTTCATTCAGCATGACAGGACAGCTATTGAAAACATGATTGCCCCAAAGTGCGTTAAAATTTGACAACTTTGTGTTGCTAAGAAATCATAAATACATTCTCTTGGCACTCAGATCTAAGTTTCGCAAACCTGGAAAAAAAAAAGGGGGGGGGTGGGGGGAGGGGAGCACAAGGATGTGACTGATTGGCCCAACAAACCCGCATTTAAGATGCTATCCGGTAAAGCCACAGCTGCTCTAATGCCAATAGTCCTATCCATGGATAAGATAGGTCTCCATGGAAACAGTGTTCACGGACTAGTGAAGCATAATAAGATCTAATTTAATTTATATTTTAGTGACTTAGCTTTATTTTAGACTTTTGCCTTCAGTCAGAGAAGGCCCACAGCTTTATTTTAGACTTCTGCCTTCAATCAGAGAAGGCCCACAGGTTTATTTTAGACTTCTGCCTTCAGTCAGAGAAGGCCCACAGATAGTAAGCAATACAGTAGACCACATTTAACACTGTAAACGTCAAAGGGAAGAGAACTCTTGCTGCTCGGTCGACTTGGCTTACACTGTTTCTAAAAACGGATAACTTCCCTTTGGGGAAAACTCCTTTAGTCTTTGTCCTGAAATGTAAAAAAAGTGACGTCAAATAGGGATCTCAATTATTTGATCAATTAACGTCCTTGTCTTAGTGACGTCGAATAGGGATCTCAATTATTTGACCAATTAATGTCAATGTCTTAGTGACGCGAATATGAATCTCAATTATTTGATCAAATAATGCTCTGTCTTAGAGACGTCAAATAGGTATCTCAATTATTTGATCAATTAATTCCCTTGTCTTAGTGACGTCAAGTAAGGATCTCAATCATTTGATCCATCTTTAGGTATGACTTGAAAATTTAACTTTACAAAGTCATAAAAAAGGAGGAAGAAGCCTAAATCAAACTAAGCTGACCTAGTGAGACAATGGCACAGTTTCGCCAAAATTCCAACTTTGACATTCACTGCATTGGGCGGCCAGGGATAGTTCTGGACTTTGAATTTGCCATTGTCCAATGTCAGGGAATCCAGGCTTGTGTTCTCTTCAGAAATCTGGAGAGAAAAGTTTTGTGTAACTCTAAGCTTGTTAACCACACATCTCATGAGAAAAAAGATTTGTAACTATAAGCCCGTCAACCACACATCTCAAGAGAAAAGTTAGGTAACTCTAGGCGTGTCATCCACACATCTCATAAGAGAAAAGTTAGGTAACTCTAGGCGTGTCATCCACACATCTCAGAAGAGAAAAGTTAGGTAACTCTAGGCTTGTCATCCACACATCTCATAAGAGAAAAGTTAGGTAACTCTAGGCTTGTCATCCACACATCTCATAAGAGAAAAGTTATTTAACACCCTCTTGATTCCCTTCGACATGACGTCATTAAGAAAATCTTGTTTACATTCAGTGATGAGTCAGCTGTGTGTTCGAACATTTTAAACAGTTCTGTGAATCCTATCCACACAAAAAAATTATGAAACTTATTCTTCAAATCTATATTTGACTCTGAAATGGAAAATGATTACAATTTATCGTTTACTTTCAACACGGAATAAAAGTTTCTTCTAAATGAAAAACAAAAAAAAGTTTAAAATATTTGAGTTCGTTAAATTAAAATTTACTGTTGCGTATCAAGCAACGCTTTCCAAACTGTGTGTCCTGACACACTAATGTGTCAACTGCAGTGTGTAGTAAGGGTATGAAGGATTGTGTTACCACCCCAACAAGGGTAATTAGGACGTCATAACTCATAAATCTTTCATTGTTCGGGTAGGGAAGAAGTAATTAATGGCAGCCATTTTCTGGGAAGGTCAAGGACTAATGAGATAATGGTAAGTGATTTATCATAGTGGTACTGAGCTCAAGCACTAATAAGATAATGGTAAGTGCTCTATCATAGTCGTACCGAGGTCAAGCACCATAAGATGAAGGTAAGTGCTCTATCATAGTGGTACCGATGTCCAGCACTAATCAGATAATGATAAGTGTTCTATCATAGTTGTACCGAGGTCCAGCAGTAATGAGATAATGGTAAGTGCTCTATCATAGTTGTACCGAGGTCCAGCACTAATGAGATAATGGTAAGTGCTCTATCAAAGTTGTACCGAGGTCCAGCACTAATGAGATAATGGTAAGTGCTCTATCATAGTCGTACCGAGGTCAAGCACTAATAAGATAATGGTGAGTGCTCTATCATAGTTATACTGAGGTAAAGCACTAATGAGATAATGATAAGTGCTCTGTCTTAGTTGTACCGAGGTCCAGCACTAATAAGATAATGATAAGTGCTCTGTTTTAGTTGTACCCGGTACGTAGTTTAATCTCACCACCCAGCTTCAAACATTAAAAAAATATTTTGTTTATCCAAGTTAGTGACGTGCAAGTAGTGCAATAAATGAGATGGGAGCTTAGATGTGGGAGCTTAGAGGTGGGAGCTTATAGGTTGGAGCTTACAGGTTGGAGCTTACAGGTTGTAACTTAGAGTTTGGAGCTTATAGATGGGAGCGTAGAGGTGGGAGCTTAGAGGCTGGAGCTTATAGGTGGGAGATGAGTGGTAGCAGCCTAGAAATGTTCCCCGTGAGACATTAAATGTGAATATATAGAGGTGTTTTCACCTGGTGCATATGTAATGGAGCAACTTCACATAGTGAAAAAAAGAAAGCACTTAACCAAGGGTGCCTACTGAACCTCCAGTTCAGTTTAAAATTGCTCTCAGCCATTCAGCGCTTTCTGAGAAATCCCATCTGATTATTCGGAAGTGTAAATGCTGATTAAGCTCCACACGTCACAATTGTCTTCAGATAAACAGAGCTTAACTCAAGACACCACTCAGCTGATTTATAGTTGCCTTTTTCGGCAGTTCGAGACCACGGCGATATCGTAAACATGTCGTCTCTGGGTCAAATGTTTTGTGTTTTAAGATAAAAGATTTTACAAAACAAATACATTTGAAGGCATCGTTTGGCGTGGGACATGTTGATTGAATGACTGCCACAGTACTTGTCCGTTGTAACATTCCATTGTCATTTTAAAGAAATTTAACTCTTACCAATACATCCAATGTAAGGAAGTGTCATTCAAACTCAAGTATCACAAGATATTTTGGTCTAACACAGGCTTAAGACAGATATTATTGCCTAAAATAACGGTTCTCAACCTGTGGGTCGTGACCCCTTTTGAGGTCGAACAACCCTTACACAGGGGTCGCCTAAGACCATGGGAAAACACATATTTATGACGTAATTCTATGGTAAGGGGGTCACCACAACATGAGGAATTGTATTGAAGGGTGGCAGCATAGGAAGTTTGAGAACCACTAGCATAAAACATTTTTAAAAATATATTTTTTTTTAAAAACAACAAACCAACCACCAAAAATAGAAAGAGAAGAAATGCTTCTTGAATGACCTCGTCCACAGAGCTGTCGTCATCGCTTGAGAGCATGAGCGGTTCCCCCGTGCCGTACTTGGTGAAGTAATGGACCACAGCGAACTCCAGGGTGGTCGCGATGGCAAACACAAAGCAGAGGGCCACGTACACATCCAGGGCAGTGATGTAGGACACTTTGGGCAACTGGCTCTTGTTCTCTATGCCCAGTATGGTCATCGTCAACACCGTCATAGAACCTGGTGGAGTGGTTTAGAGGGTTAGTGCAGTCATAGAACCTGGTGGAGTGGTACAGAGGGTTAGTGCAGTCTTAGAACCTGGTGGAGTGTTTTAGAGGGTTAGTGCAGTCATAGAACCTGGTGGAGTGGTTTAGAGGGTTAGTGCAGTCTTAGAACCTGGTGGAGTGTTTTAGAGGGTTAGTGCAGTCATAGAACCTGGTGGAGTGGTACAGAGAGTCAACACAGTCATAGAACCTGGTGGAGTGGTACAGAGAGTCAACACAGTCATAGAACCTGGTGGAGTGGTTTAAAGGGTTAGTGCAGTCTTAGAACCTGGTGGAGTGGTACAGAGGGTTAGTGCAGTCTTAGAACCTGGTGGAGTGTTTTAGAGGGTTAGTGCAGTCTTAGAACCTGGTGGAGTGGTACAGAGGGTTAGTGCAGTCATAGAACCTGGTGGAGTGGTACAGAGGGTTAGTGCAGTCTTAGAACCTGGTGGATTATTTTACAGGGTTTGAGTTGTGTTTAAGTAATCTATGCATTCTGGAGTCTGTTGACTGTTTCGTTCCATTGGGGGAAAAAGAACAATTCGGACGCCAATTTTGCATGTTACAAGTTAATTCTACCTCAGTCTTAAAGACGATGTCTAGCTCAATCTAGGATAAGTTGAATGTCTAGCTCAATCTAGGATAAGTTGAATGTCTAGCTCAATGTAGGATACATTGAATGTCTAGCTCCAATCTAGGATAAGTTGAAAAAGCCTGAAGCAAATACTAAATGTCTGGTAACAAATAGGATA